TCTGGCCCGGCCGCTGTCTCTGGTGGGCCTGGCCATCGTCAGCACAGCACACACTCCGCAGGCACACAGGCCACTGACGACATGGGAGCCCACTCTGGCCACGGGCAGGAGTGTGCGGGTGTCAGCATTGGCCAGGACACAGCCCGTGGGGTGCCCAGGGCCGGACCCACAGCCGCCCAGTGACGGCGCCTCCCTTACAGATGTTCGGGTCTCCGGATGGCCGCGTCTCTGAGGACGACTTGTCCCGCATCCTCAAGACCGCCTTAGGGGTGGCGGAGCTCCCCGTGACCGACCTCTTCCGGGCCGTCGACACAGAGGATGCGGGGACTATCACGTTCGGTGAGTGTGGGGGACGGCCAGGCCTGCCCCCTCGCCCAGCCCACCCTGCACACTCAGAGGTGTTTGAGGAAGGCGGTCCAGAAACCGACCGGAGTGCGGGAGCTTCCCCCCGACGGCAGGCGCCTGCTAGAACCGAACCCCAGCCCAGTGCCGGGGCGCAGCGCCTAGTGCAAGCACGCCTATGTCCCTGGCTGGGAGAATGTCCACGCCGACCTGGCGGGCCACCTTCCCATGGGGGTCTCGCGAGGCAGCTTTGACCTGGTGTGGTCTTCCCGGAGAGCCCCTGGTGCTGGCCCTGTGGAGACGTCCCCGGCCCCCACGCATTTCCGCACTCAGTCTCGTGTCTCGAGGCGGGTGCAACAGTCCGGCCACAAAGGGGCAGCTCACGGCCTGGGCCCAGGAGGCCTGGGGCTGGTGGGGCCAGAGTTCCAGGCCGGGCCCACACGCGCTTCGCTGGGGAGCGTCTCTCTGCCGGGTGTGTGTCGCCGTCGAAGCCCAAGGAGGCACCTGCTGCGTGCACCACGGGTCTCTGAGGTGGGCGCTCCACCTGTCGGGCTGGGACTGCACACGACCACGTGTCAGGGGCCAGGCGTGTGTGTGCGTGTGCGTGTGCTGGTTGCTGTCTCACATGTCAGCACTGAAGGCCGCTGTAGCCTGGCTGCCCAGTCATCGTGCGGCCCTGCCAAGGGCGTTCCCAGCCCCCGCAGCCTCCCGGAGAGCCGCCCCAGGTTTGCGTCCCACGGCGAGGGTGCTCTGGGCCCACGTCAGGGTGCAGGGCGTCAGAAGCTCACGGGCAGGGGGCAGAGGGGTCCTGCAGATCTCTTTGGGAATTGTGTAGATTTCCCAAAAGCAGGAGTGGCGGAGGGCCCGGTGTCTGCCGTTTTTAGTGAACACCGCAGAGAACCGAGGCCCTGTCCTCACTGCACCTACGAGAGTCTGGCGCGAGCCTCCAGGGCCGTGTGTAGACGCATGCTCGGGGTCTCGTGGGCAGTGCCAGTAACCACAGGTGCCTTCATGTCCGCAGCCAACTTCAGCAGGTTTGCAGAGATGTGCCCCGACTTCGCAGAGGGGTACCTGTACCCCGACAAGGCGCGTCTCGAAAGCTGTACGCACAGCCCACCTGCGCTGACCCCCAACGGCTTCTGCACGGACTTCAGCCCGGAAAACTCGGACGTTGGGAGAAAGCCTCCTTGTAAGAAGCTGGACTAGGACGGGGGCCCCATGGCCTCAGGTCTCTCCGCATCACCCCCGGCCTCTGTGCGGCCATGGGCCCTGCTCGGAGCAATGTCTGGCTCATGCTGTCTGTCGTCTTCGGGCCCAAGGACACTTAGAGGGTTTGTTCTATTTGTTTCTGTGGGGAGTCTCAGAGCCCAGTGCGGTAGGCCATGAGTTGCATATCCCGAGGAAAGAGACCGGGCACTCCCACACCCGGGGTGGGGCCCTGGGGCCTGCCGGGTCTCAGCCACGGCTCCCGGCCGCAGGCATCGGTCACGCCCTCATCACCTGCTGCCTGGTCCGCTCCCAGCAGCGCGCACGGCGGGGTCGTACGCACTCGCACACGGACGTGCCACCATGGTCCGAGCCTGGCGCCGACTCTGCCACCGGCGAGCACTGCCAGGCGCGGTCCGGGTCTGCGTCTGTGCGGGGTCTCGTGCGCATTTTGTAACTCCGTTTAGGTACGTCAGGAAACACACAGCATTTTTTTAAAGACCGAGAATTGTTTTTCTACTTCATCTTTCCTTTTGGGGTCAGAGGACATTTCTTTATAGGCCCTTTTTGATAGAATCTGAGGCCACTTGGGCTTTGACTTAAATTCTTATCAGGTAAATTTCTCTCCAGGGAAGTCTCTCCACGTGGTCCCCTCAGGGAGGTTTGTCCACGAGGACCCAGCCCCCCAGGCCCCCAGGCTGACACCGGCTCATCCCCTCACATGGCCTGAGCGGGCGATGGTGGGACTCGGGGACACACGGTGGCCCCTCCTGGTGGCCCCTCCTGGTGGGCCCCAGTGCTCTTCCTCGTTCTCGGGTGTCTAGTGATTTGGGGTCAACAGCCCCCCTGGCATGGGGGTCTGGAGGACCTCCATGGACACCCCATGCCCGCGCCACGTCCTGACCTCCCGAGGCCCGTGTCACAGTGCATGTGTGGTCATGTGCCCTCTGAGGTGGCGAGCAGGACTTCCACGTGCTGGGAAGGCCCCCTTGCCCTTGGTGACATCTCCCAGTCTCGGCCGTCTCGACGTCGGAAACGGTCCCTAAGCACAAGAGTGGCCGTGACCTTCGGTGCATTCCCTGACGCAAAGCCTCCGGGAGTGTTTGGAACCCGGATTTCCTCATCTCTGAGATGAGCGTTCTGCTCGTGGGGCATTGCTACAGGAAGTGACCGCCAGGCCAGCAGGTACTAATGCTGCAGAGAGGGCACCCGGGGTCCCCAGATGGCAAGGAGGATGCTGCTCTCGTCCCAGCGCAGTGCCGGCTGGCTGGGACTGGCTGCGGGCGCCCCGGGGAGCGCAGATGAGGCGCCGAGAAGTGGCCCATGAAGGAGGCTGAGCTGGGATGTTCTGCAGGGAGCCAGCCACACCGGCCCTCCTGGTCTGCACATGACGGGGTTTTGAACGGAATGCCACCCGCATCTTCAGGGACAGAAACCTCCGATGAACAGGCTTCGAACGGATGCTCGCACCTCCTGATTCTCCCTTCTCTCACGCTGGTGGCCGGGCAGCGGCATGGGTGCGGGTGTACATAGTGTCGGGGACCCCAGGGGGCAGGGGACGGTCTCCAGTGAGGAGTTTGGGGTTTGCGATGGAATAAAGAAAACAGCGAGTCTTACGCACGCCTGTGTGCTTTTATCAACCCAGCAGCCAGCTCAGGCGGCAGGAGGCTCGTCGCGGGGATTCCTAGCCTACGGAGCACGGCCGCGGCTGTCCCGTGAAGACAGCATTCGCGGTGGCAGAGGGGCGCACGTTTCGGAGCTCAGACGTGGGCGGCCATGGTGAGCATGAGGGCCCGTCCATGTGCACCTCATGTTCCTGAGTGGAGAGGGCCTCGTGTGGCCTCAGTGAGTCAGTGAGCGATTTCTAAACAAGCAGCGAGTCGGAGCCCACGTTACACTCCCAGGTCTCGGGAGGATCGGGGCACCAGAGCTCCACCCCGGAGGAGCCGCGCTGAGTGGCGGTGCGCCCAGCGAGCTGTTCGAGCCCGTCATTCCTCAGTTCGGCTTCGTGCCTTCGTGCAGCTGCCGTTGTAAATACGATGAACGTACGCACCTTTGAAATGGAATACGTTTAAGGCTTTAAATTGAAAACGGTTAAAAGCTCTGCACACTTCACCTTCAGAGCTTGGCCAGGAGGCTCTTGAGAAAAATCAAGGCGAAGCCAAAGGCCAGAGCGGGCGGCAGTGGAGGGGAGAGGGGGTGCCATGCTCGTGCACTGGCTGTGTGGGCGCTCCTGCCAGGCAGACCCTGTCTCCCTGGGTCTCCAGCCCCCAATAGCGGTGGGACCTGCTAGGCCCCAGGCCGACACTCGGGGAGGGCCCTACGCCAGGGCCCGAGGGGGTGAAGGGCCATTGGACGCCAGGACAGGGTCTTCCCCGCTGCCCGGCCAGTTGTTCACCCTGCCACATTGGGCTGTGAACCAGGGGCCGGCTGGGAGGAGGCCGCCAGACCCCGACCCTGGTCTGGGAAGCGGCACGGATAGCAGCCAGGCCGAGGGGCCAGCACGGCCCCAAGGAGACGCAGAACCCGCTCGCTTTCATCCCAGCGCAAGGGCCGCACCCTCAAGGCCCCCCCAACTGCAGCATGTGCCCGCCCCTCCCAAAAACAGGCCCACGAGTCCATGCCCACCTCCCACCACGCGCATGTCCTCTGACGTCAGCTACCAGGCGCCAGGCTCCACTCAGCACGCACTTCCTGCAGGACGGCACACTCACGGGCACATGCACACGTGCACGCCCAGGAAGCCGCGCGGCCGTGCCGTCCTTCCGTAGTCAGTGACGAGACGCACACTGGCATCTTCGGCTTCCTCCCTCCGCCTTGCCCTGCCCTTCCCGGCCCCCAGGGCCCCCAGCAAGAGGACCCAGCCCTCACCCCAGTGTGCCTGAAGCCTGTGCGTCTTGTCATATGGGTCATGGTCTCTCACGAAGACACCAAGAAGTGCCCAGTGTCCCCGGGCCCCACGTGTCCGCCAGCCTGCTGTCTGCCCAGCTTCCTGCTTGGTTGCCCAGAGCCTGCTTCCCCAGGGCCCAAGGCCCCACAGGAGCCTCCGTCCTCAGGAACCAAAGCGCAGTGCCACAGGGGAGGACACGTGGGAACAGGCTCATGTGCTGCGGTCCCACGGGTAAGGGCAGGGCAGTGGTGGCTCTGCTCGGGATCACTGTCGCCGGGTCCAGGTCTGGCAGCTCCTTCAGCCCAGGGAGAGGGTGGCAACCACTGAGTGTGAGGGCCACAGTGGGTCACCTGGCGCAGCCACTCAGCCCTGAGAGGCTGTCTCCCGAGAGGGTGCAGACGCACCAGGGAGAAGGGCCATGCCTGGTCCCAGGGCATCGCAAGCCTCCCCAGCCCTGGAGCCGTCTGGATTGCGACCCCGCGGACAGCCCAGCTGGTGTCTCCGTGGCTCTGAGAGCAACTCTGCGTCTTGTTGGCAGCTCTGTGAGCACCAGGACCCCGTGTGCCCTCCCGGGCTTCCCTGTGGAGTAGAACGTTTAGCAGCATGATGGGAGCAGGCAGGAACCAGTGGGCCGCCATCAGGCTGCCCGGTGTGGTCCAGTGAGCACGTGGGCGGGGACACGAGTGGCCTCCATGTCAGACGGTCCACACCTGCATCCACACACTGAGACACCCGAGGCTCCGTGAGACTGAGCAGAGGGCACGTGACAGACGGGCAGGGCGTGTGCCACCAGGGCTCATCAACAGCACACGCGTGTGGCCCTGAAGGCTACGGCCCCTGAGCAACTTCAAGGCAGGACTCGGTGCTCCAGGAAACCCCTCAAAGCTCGTCACTGTCATCCGAGCGCAAGCTGTCGCGTGCACTGCCAGCAGACCCCTGCCACCACAGGCGGGCGGGAGAGCACCGTGCAGATGAGCGTAGGAGGGTGGGCGTGCCGAGTGAGGGGCGTACATTCCAAGGCCCCAAAGAAAGCCAAGCCCAGGAGGTATAGACGATTAAATATTAAGTTTACCCAAACTAAGCAGGAAGGTAGGAAATAAAGGGCAAAGAACAGATAACACAGACAGAGCAAATAGCAGCCGGCGAGCGTAAATCCCGCTGCGTCACCCGGCACCGAGCGCAACTGAGCCTGAAGGCAGGCAAGCGAGTGGCGAGCTTGCAGTGTGCTGTTTACACACGGGGGAGGTGGAGACGGGCCGCGCGCACACGGGGGAGGTGGAGACGGGGCCGCGCGCACACGGGGGAGGTGGAGACGGGCCGCCCGCACGCGGGGGGGGT